TCCTCCCTCAGTACAGTGATTGTAGCTTCTTCTTCATCTCTGAGAAACCGATGAAGCTTCTCAAACTCCTCTTTAATCTGACGCTCTGTGTGCTCAGCTTGAGACTGAAATCACATCACATTCACTTCAGTCAGCTCTGCATTAACACTCACTCCATTAATGTCCATCATAAACTCTGTGAATGTTTGACTCTCGATATTCTCACCTTGATGTGTTGAACAGTTTTATCACACTTTGCTTTCATTTCTTCTGCATGTTTGAGCTTGTTTTGTAAAGATGTCAGTGCTGTATTCAGTTCCTCCTACAAGTTAAGATGAAAATCTGTGAAACTTTAAGTAGCTACTAAATTTAAACTATTTTTGGAATTTTTTTCATATGATTTGCTAAATGTATTTATATTTTGTAAAAGTCATTCTCAGGAATCAGTCCCAGTTGTGCATGAACATTTCAGTACAGATCGTTTTTTCTTTTTTTTCAATTTGTAAAGGATGAAAAGTCAGCATTCTTGTGTCAAAACAATATTTGATCAGTAAAGATGATCCAAGCTTGGCAATGCTTAGTAAGCTTCTATTTGATCCATGATTTAATGGATGTCAGAAGGTTAAAATCTTTGCTTTCCTGAAGGAAATGAATAAACAGAAGGCGAAGGACTAAGACAAATTCTGCAGTTTCTCAGAAATTCTGTAAAATATTTCAGAAATGTGTCTCACCTTGTGAGATGAAAGCACTTCACTGATGGGTCTGAATGTGTGATTGACGTGTTTCTCTGAGTCTCTGCACACTAAACACACCGGCTGTTTGTCCTCCAGACAGAAGAGTTTGAGTTTCTCACTGTGTAAACTGCAGATCTCCTCAGATCCTGATGAGCGCCTCTCGTTTCGCTCCTTTATCAGTGAATCACACAAGTTTTTTAACGCTAGAATACTCAGAGGCTCTTGTTTTGAGGATCTTCTTCTGCAGACAGGACACTCCTGAGTTTTCTTGGTTTTCCAGAACTGTTGAAGACACTCTTTACAGAAACTGTGACTGCAGGACAGAAGAACAGGATCCTTGAAGATTTCACAGCACACAGGACAAGAAAGCTCTTCCACAGACTTGGAATCCATTTCCTCTTCTTCTGCAACGATCTACAATTTACTTTCACTTTCTGAACTTTACTTTGAAAAGTAAATAACAATTATAACTACAATCAAAATCTATTTCGTGCAACCAAGTTCTCAAAAAAAATCCTCCTTCATAGTGTCCTCCTTTGATGCACAGTACTCTTTTTAGCTTTCAGTATGATATGTAAGGGAGAAATCATAAGACTAGTCACTTCCTGGTAGGGCAAAGGTTGTGAGAGGGTGGAGTTTCTGATGGGCTTTTGGACTTTTTGAACACAGACTGAAAATATAGGCTTCATCCGAAAACTGAAAACTGATGTCTTCGGAGGACACATTTCAAGGTAGGAAGGCATCAAGGCATGTCTGAATCCAAAGTTAGCTTCACTTCCTGTCTCATGAGATGCCTTCATCTGATCGATTTTTGAATGCAGCATAGATGTATCCTTCACTGCCTTTGATATCCCACAATACTGTGCATGTTCGTCCGAGGGGGAGTGGCTTTAGGCGACTATGGTAGAGCTCAGAGAAAAAAATGGCATCGGAGAATGCGGTTGGAGGGCAGTTTTTGTACAAATATAAGTTTTATTTTCACTTTCGACAGCTTTTGATTACGCTTCTAGTAAAAAATAAGTGTTGTAGTTGCATATTATTTGCTTGTTTATCGTCAAAGAGCTCTCTATTTATAGTTCAAATGTAATTTCGAAAGGGTCATCTGAGGATATAGCCGCTTTCATAACGGCCCGGGCTGAAAATTATGCGGCATTCACTGCATGGCCATACAAACAGTGCTGTGAACAGGTGGAAGTAACTTGTTGAATATAATTTTCCTCCTTAATTAAGAATTATTATATGCCAATGCTAATGTTGCATTATCGGTAGTCTAAATGCTTAAGCTTTCACTGTATGATTTACCATTACCCTATAGCGTAATACAGACGTGTAACTCAAAGCTTATTTTATTTAATGTTTCCTTTGTGAGTTAGTAATGCATGCTTTACAGGGATAGGTCATCCTTATGTTTTTAAACCTTTAATCTCACTGAATTTTCTCAAGAAAATGCTTCAGACAATTGGACTGGAGGGAAAAGTAACACCACAACAAGCCCGAAAGAAGTGGGACAACTTAAAAAAGAAATATAAGGCATGTTTTATACATATTCTCTGGTACATATTTTTATATGCAGTCTACAGTTCATAAAAACATGTTTATTTTTTTCTGTAGGAGCTGGAAAACCCACCAACTGGTTCAGGGGT